GCTTGCATCTAGTTTTGCTGTGGAGAAGTATACTGTCATTTTGATTCTTGTTCCTTAGCTATAAATATATTCTTTTTCTCAGTAAGCTTTTAGAATGTCCTCTTTGTACTGGTTGTTTTAAAGTTTCATTATAACATATCGAAGTGTTTGTTTTACCTTACCTCTATTGTTGTCCATGAGGCCTTTCAATCAAAGATTTTTCATCTTTTTTTTTTCAATTTTAGGAATTTGTCATTTCTGTAAGACAAGGACAAGGCAAGAATAACCACTATTTCCATTGTTACTTGTCATAGTACTGGCCAACACTATAGGAAAGGAAAAAAATAAGAGATGGAAGAATTGGAAGGGAAAAAATAAAACTGCCATTGCTTTCAGAAGAGATCACCTTCTACCTAGAAAGACTATGATAACCAACAAACTATTAGAATACATAAAATAGTTCAGCAAGGTTTCTAGAAATAAGATAAGCTCTCAAATATTGGAATTTTTCTATAGCATCACTAACCAACTAGAAAATTATATAAAAAACAAGATGCCATTCACAATGTCAACAGAAACTATAGCATAATTGAGAATGTTTATTTAAGAATTATACTATGCTCTTGTGGAGAAAATTTTAAAACTCTAATAATAAAAGACATGGAATATGATCTGAAGAGATGGAGAGCTATCCCATGCTCAGCTGGGCCAAATTAATTTTATAATGACATCACTCTTGCTTGAAGTAATCTATAAATTCAATGAAAACCAATACAAATTTCAGGTTTTTTTTTTTTTTTTGGGAACAGGGGGAGTCTCTCCCTGTTGCCCAGGCTGGAGTGCAGTGGCGCGATCTTGGCTCACTGCAACCTCCATCTCCTGGGTTCAAGCTATTCTCCTGCCTCAGCCTCCTATGTAGCTGGGATTATAGGTGCTCACCACCATGCCCAGCTGATTTTTGTATTTTTAGTAGAGATGGGGTTTTGTCATTTTGGCCAGGCTGGTCTCGAACTCCTGACCTCAGGTGATCCATCTGCCTTGGCCTCCCAAAGTGCTGGGATTACAGGCATGAGCCACGGTGCTGGCTGGATTTTTTGAGGAACTTGATAAACTTATTTGAAAAATTTAAGCTGTACTATAATAAATAACAATAAAAACTATAAGGTACAAGAACAATGAGACCAGTAAAATAAAATAGGTCCATGTACATAAAGTATGTATTTATATTTAACAAAAGCATACTATGAATAAAGTTAGCAGATGACAAGAGTGAAGAAATTTGTGTTAAGTAAAACTGAAAATATCTAGAACTGTACATCTAGAATACAGATGTGCCAAGAATTTCTGCTGATCAACAAGGAAAAGAGCAATCCCAGTATAGAAATTGGCAAAGGAACGAACAGACATTTTAAACTGGCAAGAACAGATACTACACTTGATCTTAGCCAAAAGGTCAAGAAGTGATTGAAGGGGTATTTTGGAGAAGAGAAACTCCATAGGGTTAACATGCATAGGAAGACATGCTTATATTTATTAGTATTAGTAATGTGAAATAAACCACGATGCTATCACTGCACTATTACACTAAAAACAAACAAACAAACAAAAAAAACAAAGAAAACCACTACACTGTTGCTATCACTACATCTACCACACTGGCAACATTTAGACCTTGGATAATGCCAAGTTTGGTGGTAAAGTGGAAATATGAGAAGCTGGTGGAAGAATGAACTGCTGGTGGAAGTCTTGGACAGCAATTTGTTTGTATTCAGTCAGATTAAACATATGCCTATTCTTTGGACCAGTAATTCCACCTCCGGGTATATAACCTCAAGGAAATTTTCACATGCCTCTGAAAAAAGATGCATATAAGAATGTTCATCGATGCTTTGTTTGTGGAAGAGGAAGCTGGAGACAATCTGCTTAAGTGAAATGCAGTGCTCGCACACCATAGAATACTTTGCAGGTGTTAGAAGTAATGCACGGAATGTCTACATCGATGTGGATAGATCTTACAACACTGTGCTGAATTAAAAAAATAAGAAACGATGTGAAATGCATAATATAACATCATCTACATGAGTTAAAAATCTAGACATGCCAAACAATACATATCTTATAAGAACAGGCACAAATGTCTACAAATAAAAGCTTCAACATCAACCACTGAAAAGAGTTGCCCTGATTGGAATGGTGGGTGGGTGGTGGGGGTATGAGGGGACAGGAAAAAGAATAGACATGGAAAATAAGGGGGAAAGTAGATGAATGAATAAATAAATTATGGAGCAAAATGAGACAGGGGCTTTCAGAAATAAAAAATGATGAGAATGAAGATGATTAAAGGCTAAATGAAAACAAAAGATCAAGACTTGGCAGAGGTAATGGCATATAATAAGCACTCTGTAAATATTTATTAAATGATGGAAGAAATGAAGTCGATGGTGAATCTTTTTGCAAGGCTAAAATTTCTTTTGCAATATGAATCAGTGCTCTTTAATAAATTATTTTAGAAGTTTTGATCTTGGCATATCAAATTCCTTAAAAATGTGAGCACACCTGTGTTTGGAGACATCTGGATCATGTTCACAGATTTTTTTTCTTTTCTTCCACTTCTTGAGACACTGCATAAACATAGGCGCCTCTTTTGAACTATGCCATGCAGTTTGACTTTTGATTCTAAGTCACAGAAAATGTTTTCCTGGAAAATATTTGCTGTTTTGATCAAGCTTGATTCCAAAGCATCTGCCTATATATGGCCACTGATATGCAGGGTATTTGCTGGAAGAAATGAGCTGGAATCTGCCTCATGAGCTTTGAGGCCATAAGAGTGGATGGGTTTATTGCTGGCCATGATGGTGGGCTTGCCTACTGACATTCTGTTTTTCTGCCACTGTACAAGATCTGATTTGTCAGAGTAGCTGTGGGTCTCACCTTTTCCTTCGCTCTTTCCAACGGACAGAAATTTATCCCATGAGATATAGCTTCTACTGATCTGCTTCAGGTTTTAATAATAATGATCCTATATTACTACTAACAAACATGGCTGACACTTGGCATTTATTGCTTTCAACTTAATAAATATCTTTTAGTGTAATTATTTAGAGCTCTGACTCTAGTCAGATGAACTTGGGTCTGGCATCAACCTATAACCTGATAGCTTGGTGACATTAGACAGATGAAATTCCCTAAGCATTTGTTTGTTTCTCTGAACAATACAGACAGAAGTTTCCTTACAGCGTTGTTGTGGTGACTAGATTAGGTAACGTATTTAAGGCTTAACATGGAGCCTCCTGCACAGTAAGTGGTTATTATTATTACTTTGTGGAAATCATTGTGCTAGGCCTGTGGGGAGAAACTGAGATGAATAGGAAAAAGTTCTGAATTTCACGGACTTGGAGAGAATAAGACATGACCAAAATAGACAAAAGACAGACCCATGGGAGAGAGGACCAGCAAGGTCACATATCCTCCTAAGAACCTGTGAGACACTCACAGAACTGGTTCTTCATTTTATAAATGAGGAAACTGAGGCTAGATGAGTTATGTGACTTGTTGAAGGGGACACAGCGAGTGAGTGTCAGAGCCTTCATGGGAACCCACAACTCCTGTGACTGAGGCAGGCCTGAGGGATGTGCCTCTGTTTCTCATGGAAACTCCTCGGTGCAGCCTAAAGCCTTGTGATGCTGCCCCCTGCCAGGCCAGGGTGTGGACTGCCAGCCACCACAGCATGGGGGCCTCCGCTGTCCTGAACTTCAGAGGCTTTGCGGGGAGGGCTTAGAGCCAGCCAGGAGACAGCCTTCCCTGGCTTTTGAGTGAGTCATTTATGAAATGTGGACAGCAATTCTCCTCAAGACCTGCCCTCAAATCAACAACCTATTGGAGACAGTAATTCCTAACTTCATCAGATGAATTTTTACGGGGGGTCAGTATGCTTCAGGTCTTGTGTGGGGCACTGGAGAGGCAAAGATGAAACCTCTTTGAGAAACTGACAGAGTCGTGTGACAATTCACCATCACATAATGAACAAAGTGCTCTAAGATCTGAGAAGAGGGACAAATATTTTCTGGGCTAGGGGGTTTGTCCTTCCGGCAAGAGAGGACAGCAAGGTCAAAGGCAGGGAATTGCATGGGTGTTTGGTGGTGCTTAGAGGGCACTGGGACCAGTGGTAGGAGGGCAGTGGGTGGTGAGGCTGGAAAGGAAGGCAAGGGCTCGATTGTGGGAGGCCTTCTAGGCCTCCAGCTCTGTGGCTGAAGGGAGAAGGTAAATGCTTTGTAGGCCAGATGACAGCATGATCAGCTCTAGGGGGTGCAAGATGGCTCTGAGGCAGTATGGACGGCAGAGCAGCAAGGCCCCACACCAGCTCTAGGGGTCATAGCCAAGGGGTCTTGACCCCAAACTGACTGAGTCCCTGGAGCCTGAGCATGTGGACCTCAGATATGCAGTGGCAGAAGGCTTCCAAACTGGGAAGGAGCCAGTAGCCAACACCCCCTACACTTCCAGACGGGGAGCCCATGACTTTTACTTCAAGAAGCTTCCTGTTATCAGTGGCTGGGCACTCGCAGAGAGGCCCTGTTCATCCTGTGCCTACAAGCCCAGCTCCAGTCAAAGAGCAAGGGCATGTTCTCCTTTCTTCCCTGAGGGTTGGCCTCCTTCTCCGTGGGCATAGCCGCCATCAGAACCAGCGCCCCCATATTTCAGCATGATTAAGCCTTGCCATTTTGGGGGTGGCTGGGGGCGAGGGGAGGGGCTATTGTGTTTCAAAATGGAATAAACAGAAAAGCAATATTAAAAGAATGAGGAGGTTGTTTACTGAGGCTTGAAGAGATGACAGGTGTTTCCTCCCAGTTGAGAACCAGTGACCCCTGGGAATCGCATTTCCCGCTGAGCAGACCCCATGGCGGGCTGAGTCCTGCCCATGCCCGGCTGAGTCCTGCCCATGCCCTGGTGGCCTGGAAGCCTGCATGGGCGCCGTGCAAAGACCAACGTTTTCCAGAGGAGCTTTTGGGCTCATCACTGGCCTGGGGAGGGCTTGACACGGGGTTCCCACAGCCTGCTCCACACCACCTTCACACCCACACCCAGCAGGTCCCCGTGGGGCCGGTGCAGGCCGTGGCTGCCCGCGCTGCGCTGTTGCTCTGTCCCAGCTGGCTGGCTCCGGGTGTGGAGCACTCTGGGCCGGGGCCTCTGGGGCGCGCACAGTGGGGTGACAGGCAGCCTGGCTGCAGAAACGTTGCACCCGTGCCTGAGGTGGGAGGATGTGATGACGCGGCCCACGCAGCGGGAACCCAGGCCTTTAAAAAGCCCAGGAAACAGCCTCAGCGCAAGCGGTGGCTCCACTGGAGGAAAACACACCCCGGTCTCACATTAAAGAAGCCAAACTGTCGGCTTCAAAGAGAAAAGGCAACATCCTGTCACAGGCCATGCTCTGGCAAAAACGTAAGTGGTTTGGCTGTGGCTGTCAGACCCAAGCCAGCGCCAGCAGGGCCGGGCGATCACCGCTTGGCCTGGAATTGGGGAGCTGGCGGTGGAGGAGATGGGGTCACGGGGGAGAGGGGAGGGGGTCTAGGTTCCAAGCCCGGGAGTGGGGAGCGGGGAGGTGGGCGGGATGGAGCCTGGTGGAGAAACTAGCCTGTCAGAGGTGATGCTGATTTTCCAGGCTGGAGGGGAACGAACTAGTGTTCCAAGGTGGGACGGCTCAGGGTACCTCCGCTTCTGTGCATGAATCACTGTGGTGAAGAAAGGGCAATTTATGATTCACACAACAAAAGCCAGATGTGGGATGGGTTTGGTGTTTGGAGGGAAAAGCCATGCAGTTCTTTACAGGAGGGGCTTTATTTCCATAAGTAGTGGCTCTTCAGCCTGCTGTTGAATTCCCTGGGCCTGTTTCTAGCTGAGTGACTTAGCTTTCTGCCAGGGCGTGACTTGTTCCTGTGGATACCCTGGGAGGAGTGGAGACCTGGCTTGGTGAAGCGTGTCCTCACTCGCTCCACTGTCTTGCCTTTCGTCATTCTTTTTCCCCCTCTGTGACAAGGCTTGTCTATCCCACTGCAAAGGGAGCAGTGGGTTTATCTTTGGCCTTGATTTTTATCCCTGGAGTTGGATGGAACAACTGTGAACTTTATTTTTCTTTATGTGGACCAAACAGTGACTTACCTTACTAATAACTGAAATAATACAGATTATTTACAACATTCTTTTCATGAGGTAAACGAAGTCAACTCATCAGCTCTGAGAGTTGAACCTTATTGGGGCTTAGTTCTATACTTCCTCAAGCAAGAAGAATGACAAAAAATTGCTCTTTCTCTTAAAGATTCTTAGTTCCTTAAAATGGCTTTTAATTAACTTAAGTACGCCGTGCCTCAAGCAAACTTAATATAAGAGAATCTAGATTTACAGAAAAAGATAAATTAGGGAGTATGTTTATTTTATGGAAAGATACTCAATTGGATCCATTAAAGTTCTGAAAATATAACTTCATTGATTAAAATGTTACACTGTCACCTTATCACCAATTTACTCTCTTTGCTTTATATCTTATATAAATTTCTCTGGAATTAAGCTGATTAACAAGTAACACAGAAGAGTGATTTCAAAATTTCTCAGATTGTGAAGACCCACCATAGTTTGGTATCAGTAAGATCCATTTTTTAAAAAATAAAGGGAAATGAACTTTAAGTTGGGTTTGAGAGTTATGGACTCCTTCCCAGATAACTAGGAATATTCAAGAATGGTTGGCATGCAACTCTTACCAACAGGCGATGGGGCAGCGGCAGCCTATCCTTCATGGGACCATGGCAGCTGACCCTGTTGTGAATGCTCTGTGGATGAGAGCAGGTGGGCATTCATCTCTTTACTGGGGGCTCCTAAGCATCTGTGTGTCTTTACACTTAGGGCTGCATCATTTGATTTTTGTGTGAGCCCCTGGAGGGAGTTTTGCCTCAGCTCCTGCCTTCTATGAGCAAGTCACTTTCCTTTTTCTCAATCCTTAGATTTTTCGTATGTGAAGTGGGGGTAAAAATCATACCCACTCTGAGGACCTACCCTTAGTAAGTGAGGTGCCACTGAAGTCATGTTCATTGCTCTGTCTGCATCAGCCTCTCAGCCTCTGAGATATGAGTTGCTTCCCTGCATTCACAATCTGCCATATTCTCCCCTCTTGGTTCCGTACTACATTTTTTCGTTTCTAATTCCTTCTAAGAGATGAACAGACTTTTTCTTTGTGGTTTTTTTTTTTTTTTTTTTTGAGACAGAGTCTTGCTCTGTTGCCCAGGTTGGAGTGCAGTGGTGCGATCTCGGCTCACTGCAACCTCTGCCTCCTGGGTTCAAGTGATTCTCTCCCCTCAGCCTCCCTAGTAACTGGGACTACAGGTGTCTGCCACCACACCCAGGCAATTTTTTTGTATTTTTAGTAGAGATGGTGTTTTAGTATGTTGTCCAGGCTGGACTCAAGTGATCCACTCGCTTCGGCGAGTGCTGGGATAACAGGTGTGAGTCACCGTGCCTATCCCCCAATTTTTTTAAAGGGGATGCTGGAGGGCATGCTTCCTGCTCACACTCTGGAGACCAGTCAGATACAGCAAAACTCCATTGTAAGGGAGACCACATTGTAAGCTCATCAATGGAATAACTGGGGTGAATGTTTCCCCATGTTCAGATGAACACGAATCAAAATTATCTTGAATTGTCTTTTAAGCCTTAAAGGAAAAGTAGGAGAGACCCTGGGCTCTGGACCCACCCCTTTAGCCCGAACCCAAGTATGTGGTATAGAGGGCACCTGGGTGACTAAACCCTGTGGGAAAATCAGTAAAAACAGGGCAGCATGTCAGCCCACTTAGAATCACCCGGTGGAAGGGCAGGGTTTGAAATCAGACACCAAGAGTGCTGAAAGGGCACTTTCTTTTTTCAGAAAACACCCTCGAGGCATGAGCTGAAATGACTGTACTATGGGGTTCTGGAAAGGGTTAAGAAAACATTCACTTTGTGAATGTTACCTCCTCCCTACCTAGCCCATGACCCTAGTTTGTGGACTAAATGTGAACCCTGGCTTTTGGTTAAGATTAGAGCATAACGTGACAAAGCCCAGAACTGCTGGCACAGAGAAGTAGAAATCTTCAAGCCCCAACCAATGGGTGTGAGATTTGCTTGATGGGCCAACTGGATGAAGAAGTCACTCCATCTGTAGATTCTCTCCCTGGGTTCTGGACTTGGACCTGCTGGTCAGGTGTAGATGTGAAGCATTACTATCCCTCCCCAGCTAGTAGTGGAAATAGCAGGAACTTGGAGGGAGACCGGTCTGGGTTTGAAAGTTGACTGTGCAACTTAGTTCTTTTTTGTGAGAAGGAAATTTCCATTCATTTCCTCATCTGGGAAGCGGGAATTCTAATTCTGCCTCCCAAGGTTTTTGTGAGAATTAAAGTAGAGAATGTAGGTAAAATGATAGCAAGTTTCCTGCTAAGTAGTGATAGTGGTGAGTTAGTACCTTCCGTCCTGGAAACCTCCTGTGGGCCCATCTTGAGTGATCAGTGTTATGTTAAATTCGTATAACCTTTTCCACACTTTGATTAGAATAGTTAAAAAGCCACAGTCTATGGGCACCTGTAGTTCCAGCTACTCGGGAGGCTGAGGCAGGAGAATGACTTGAACCGGGGAGGCGGAGCTTGCAGTGAGCCGAGATGGCGCCACTGCACTCCAGCCTGGGAGATGGAGTGAGACTCCATCTCCAAAAAAAAAAAAAAAATAAAAATAAAAATAAAAAAGCCACAGTCTAAATATTCTTGGGTGATAGGATATTGCAAAGTTTTCCAAGGATCTAAAATAGGGGTCTGCAAACTATGGCCTCTGTGCCAAATCAGGCCTATCACCCCATTTGTAAATAAAGTTTTACTGGAACACGGCTATGTTTATCATTTGAATATTGTCTAGGGCTGCTTTTGCTACACGGCAGAGTTGTGTAGTTGTGATAGAGACTGTGCAGCATACAAAGCCTAAAATATTTACTCTCTGGCTTATTATAGAAAAACATTGCCAACCTCTGGTCTCAGATGATTTGCTTGGTTCTTCAGGCATTCATTTCCTTAAGATACTCAGTATCCTGGAGTTGTACAATGCCAACACCAATGGAAATAAAACTTGCAGCCAATTCATTAAATAATTTGGACAATGCCCCAAATTGATTTAATTGAATTTCTTCCTTAAAAGTGATAGGACTGTGTATAATAAACTGAACTCCATTTATTAGAAAGTGAACAAATTCAACAGTTGCTTTTTATTGTTGTTGTTTGTATTAGGGAATTATCTACATGCTAATCAAAGGCAGGCTTGACTGATTTTCTTTGGACTTGGCTCATTGTCTTGGTGTCCTGTAGACTTGACCTTGAAACAGGAAATAAATCGTATCCAATTATTATGTCATGGATATGCCTTTGCTTTCAGACAACTTGAACAGAGCAGAGATTTAGGAAACAGAAAAATTAAGGCCTTAAAATTCTCATCAACATAGAACTCTGCTCTCCAGATTTACTCTAGGGTTCCACTAAAGAGCCAGCATTTTTTGGGAGGCAGTTAAAGATAAGTAAAATGTGTATTATACATACAATTTTTGGAAGCCTATCTCCCACATAAATTTAAGCACAAGATATAATGAGAAGGAATTTAGGTTTCTGGACAACCTCTAATATTTCTATTATATGTTACAACCTTTGCTTATTTAATAAGCCTAGTGAGCACCTTTACTTCTTACCAAGTTGATTCCATTGATTCAGCAGTTCTTTTTTTGAGATGGAGTCTTGCTCTGTCGCCCAGGCTGGAGTGCACTGGTGCAATATCAGCTCACTGCAACCTCTGCCTCCGAATTCAAGTGATTCTCCTGCCTCAGCCTCCTGTGTAGCTGAGATTACAGGCACATGCCACAATGCCTGGCTAATTTTGCATTTTTATTGGAGATGGGGTTTCACCATGTTGGCCAGGCTGGTCTCGAACTCCTGACCTCGAATGATCCACCTGTCTTGGCCTCCCAAAGTGCTGGGATTACAGGCGTGAACCACCACACCTGGCCAATTAATCAGTTCTTGCTGTTAAGGGCAAGTAGAATCCAAAAGAGAGACACAAATTCACATGCACCTTCTGGAGGTGAAATAAAGGACAAACGTCAACAAAACACGCAGATTTAATTGGTAAAAGAGCAGATGATGCTCTTGATGGATATTTTACTTACTGCCCATTACATTTATTTACTAAAGAAAATGCCAGATTTGTCCTCAAAGTTACTGACTCAGAAGTTTTGAAAGCTCTCTTCCAATTCACACTTGAGATTCCGTTCTTTCATGAGGAACCAAAAAAAAAAAAAAAATCAAGTTTGCCTACACTTGTTCATTAAATGTGTGGACATTTAATTCATAAAGAAGTCTTGTAAATGTTTGCTTTTAACTTTCCCATTACAAAGTAAGTGTTTTTTCCCCCTTTGACATCTTTCTAAAGTAGTTTATTTTCCCTCTTAATGAAGATGTTCACCAATTTCTTATTCTGAGCCAACCAAACCAAAGTTGGCTAACTGATTATGAACATTAACATAATTCTCACCTTTACAAAATGCTTAGTAACACTCTAGTTTTCTCGTTTTTGTAGAACTGCTTGACAAAAGTGAGCCTACCTGGGATGGGGAGGCCTTCTCTGAAACACTCTTGTCCTGCTTGTGTGATGCTGGGGACAAAGCACTGTCCTTGCAGGCAGGAGCCAGGGTTCTACTTTCCATTCTAAAGATAATTAGGTGGGAGACCTTAAGCAAGCCACCTAACCACTTGGGGTCTCAGATCTTCTAGTGTTGGAATGGACTTGCCTTTTCCTGGCTAATTTTCCTAGAGATTGAACTTGATTGAGGTTCTTTTCCAGCTCTAATTGCTGAGTTTTCCTGAGTGTTTATATAAAAAATAAATACACATTTTAAATCAGAAGTCCTTAATTTGATAGATGGGATTCTTATGTCTGCTTAGGTAGCATTTTTTCCACCTTGGCCACACACTGGAATTCTCTGAGGAGATTTACGAAACACAGATGCCTGGATCTCAACCTAGAGCTTCTGATTACATTGTCCTGGGCATCGGAGGGGAGCTGCAAATGCCTCCCAGAGGGGAAGGCTGAGAACTGCTGACCTGGAGGTTGAAATGGATGGCTTCTAATAAACCTTTGGGCATTACTAAGAGCAGAAGAATGCTCAATACGTTTATCAGTGATAAACAAACATCTTTGGGGGATGGAGAACTTATTTGGTGCTATGCAGTATACAAAATGTTCTGTTAGATCAGTTTGGATTACATTTGATTGCTGGTGAAGAGACCTGAAATAACATAGATTTAAGTAAGACAGTGGTGTCCTTTCTCTCACATAAAAGAAGTCCACAGTACGGTGTTCAGGATCGTATGGAGTCTCACGGTGCCAACATCATCCCACACTCCTTCTGTCTTTCTAATCTGCTGTCCCTGGCATGTGGCTCTTGTCCTCAAGGTTTTTTTCACAGTTGCCATTGTAACTCCAGCCATCACATCTGTGATCATCACATCTTCGGACAAGAAAGAAGAAGAAAAGGGAACAGCAAAAGATCATGCCTCCCAATCGCTGTCCCTTCTCCCTGCCCAACACGCAACTTCTGCTGACATCTGATGCCATTTCTACCCACAAGGGAGAAGAGCATAATTGTTTAACTGGGCACCTTGCCACCCTCCATAATGCAGGGGTTGTTAGAAAGGAAGGGAAGGTGGATGTTGAGTGTAACAACTGCCAGTCTTCACTATGCGTTGAGTGCATTATCTCATTTAATCCTCATGAAAACTCCATGAAGC